GTTTGTGTGTGTGTGTGTGTGTGTGTGTGTGTTTGTGTGTGTCTGTCTGTGTGTGTGTGTGTGTGTGTGTGTGTGTTTGTGTTTGTGTGTGTGTCTGTGTGTGTCTGTCTGTCTGTCTGTCTGTCTATGTGTCTGTGTGTGTGTGTGTGTGTGTGTGTGTGTGTGTTTCAGATATCCCGTATGTGCTGAAGCTGGAGTCTCATCCTCACACCACGTGTTGGCCGGGTCAGTCTCTGTACTTCATGGCTCCTAGTTTCCCAGATAAGCAGCGCTGGGTGGCTGTTCTGGAGTCAGTGGTGGCTGGCAGCAGAGGATCCCGAGAGAAAAGCGAAGCGGACTCGGTGAGTCAAAGTTTCCTTCAGTCCCACTGCGTTAATGAATCCTTCAGGATGATAATTACTCCTGTGTCGGCTTCAGTCTGACTCTTTATGACCTCATGAAACGGTTTGACTGATGCAGTTTCCAGAGATACTGAAGGCTCATCATTTTTTAAATCCAGCAGGCTTTGGTTTAATTTGTCACTGCAAAACTATGAGTTACTGCTTGCTATTACTGTACAGAAGCCCCTGTGAGCAATGGTGTTAACACTGTTATTTTAGTATTATTTATATGATAATATAATATTAATATATATGATAATATAATATTAATATAGTTGATAATTAATGTAGTATTTATCAATATTGTCTAATTTGCTTCTTTTTTTTTTTTTTCATTTAATTTTAGTTTGAGTTTTAGTAATTTTGTTGTAATTTTTATCTATATATTTAAATGTTTCTTTTTAGATTTAATGTAATTTTATTTATTTGTTTTTCAATTTTAGTTCATTAGTAATTAACAAATCATTTTAGTACTTCAACTTCAAATTATTTTATTTCAAATAGGTTCCAAGGCAACATTCAAAGTTTTTCACGTAATATTTACATTTTATTTTATTTCAGTTTTATTTCAATTAACAAAAACACCCCTGTGAACAAAAGTAATATTTTAGTATTATTTATATACTATTATAGTATTTATTAATATAATTTAAATTCGCTTCTATTTAATTTTTTTTTGTTTTCATCTTAATTTTAAAGAATTGTGCTTTTGTCATTTTTAGTATTTTTTTTATATTTCAAATTTTATTTGTATTTTTTTCTGCTTTTATTCAAATTTATTTTTATTTCAGTTTTAATTTTAGCAATTTTAGTACTTTAACTTGAGCTTATTTTATTTCAATTAGTTTTTCATCTAATATTAATATTTTATTTGATTTCATCTTTATTTCAGTTAACAAAAATTACGTTTTTTAGTTCTAGTTTTAGTTAACAAGAACAATACTGGACATTTTCTTCCTGCACGTTTAATGCTATTTTGTCAACTTCTACTAGTTCACTTTTGCTCATCTGTCATATTTATGCGCATCAGTGGGGCAGAGTAATGACGGTGTTTAAACAACACCAGAATAAACCGATCTGATCCACACCAGATCCCAGCAGAAGAGGTTTTATTCAGATCTCCGGTGATTCTGTGTGATGACTGTCTAACGCTGTGAGTGTGATTGTGTTGTGAACGCTGTAGGCCGGTGTTAAACGTCAGAAGACTCTCTCGCCGCTGGTTCAGGTAATCAGATGATTGAGGGAAGCTCATCACACACACTCGCTCTCATGTGTGTGTGTGTGTGTGTGTGTGTGTTTTGTATTTTTTTCTGCTTTTATTCAAATTTATTTTTATTTCAGTTTTAATTTTAGCAATTTTAGTACTTTAACTTGAGCTTATTTTATTTCAATTAGTTTTTCATCTAATATTAATATTTTATTTGATTTCATCTTTATTTCAGTTAACAAAAATTACGTTTTTTAGTTCTAGTTTTAGTTAACAAGAACAATACTGGACATTTTCTTCCTGCACGTTTAATGCTATTTTGTCAACTTCTACTAGTTCACTTTTGCTCATCTGTCATATTTATGCGCATCAGTGGGGCAGAGTAATGACGGTGTTTAAACAACACCAGAATAAACCGATCTGATCCACACCAGATCCCAGCAGAAGAGGTTTTATTCAGATCTCCGGTGATTCTGTGTGATGACTGTCTAACGCTGTGAGTGTGATTGTGTTGTGAACGCTGTAGGCCGGTGTTAAACGTCAGAAGACTCTCTCGCCGCTGGTTCAGGTAATCAGATGATTGAGGGAAGCTCATCACACACACTCGCTCTCATGTGTGTGTGTGTGTGTGTGTGTGTGTGTTACCCAGCATGCTCCTCTGTCTGGTGCCTGTGTCGCTTGCATCATCATCTCATCTCTGCGTTCCTCTGAGTGAACCTCGCTGTACATCATCCGCAGACACCAGTGTCTCCTGCACTTCAAAATAACACAACATATATAGCACGACCAGTGTAGTCTGATTCACAAACAAACGACTCTTATGAATCAGTTCATTTGAAATGAATCACTCAGGCTTCGTTCACACAGCAAGCTGAAGTGCTCGTTCATTGTTTTTTGCTCATTTGTTTTTTTAACATTTGACATGAAATACATCAAATATTATGACATGAATTCAGAATTGCTTTGTTTGTTCATGTCTGACTCGAACTGAATCAACACACACTCCTGTAGGAAACACTGGCGGATCCTGAACGCAAACGCGGCTACATCCGTCTTGAACAAATGTGCTTGGCTTCAGTGTTGATAAATGCTGCTTTACACGAGAACTGCATGACTGCTGTGTTTTAATCGCTCGGCTGTGTCTGTCTTCTATTCTGTGAGCAGAAGCTGCTGGGAAACTCTTTGCTGAAGCTGGAGGGAGACGATCGGCTGGATATAAACTGTACTTTACCTCTGACTGACCAGGTACAGCACAGTAACACTCAACACAATGAAGGAACACAGGGTTACTAGTAGCACAGTAACACAAATAATAACACTGATTCATAAAAGTAAAACCCACAGCCTTTACATTATTCAACATTGTTAAAAAAAAAATAATAATAAAAATAAATAATAAACAACACCCACCGCCTATACAGAATTTATTCAAAATAAAAATATTTTGTAACAATATACACTACCGTTCAAAAGTTTGGGGTCAGTGTGTGTTTTTTTTCTGAAAGAATTCAATACTTTTATTCATCAAGGTTGTGTTAAATTGATAAAAAGTGATAGTAAAGACTTGGAAATAAATCAACATATTAGAGTGATTTCTGAAGATCATGTGACACTGAAGACTGGAGTAATGATGCTGAAAATACAGCTGCGCATCACAGAAATACATTACAGTTTAACAGATATTCTCATTAGGGATGTAACGGTATGAAAATTTCATATCACGATTATAGTGACCAAAGTTATCACGATTATCAATATTATCACGGTTTTGTTAAAATTAGATGTTCAAATAAAACTGATACACACACTGAAAACATTTCAATAAGTTTTATATTTGAAAATCAACAGACAACAAATACAATTAGCAGCTACAGTATATGCACTTTTTTAGCATAAACATTAAATGTGTGTGTGTCTGTGTGTGCGTGTCTGTGTGTGTGTGTGTGTTTCAGATCGTGCTGGTGGGCTCAGAGGAGGGTCTGTACGCCCTGAACGTCATCAAGAACTCTCTCACACACATCCCAGGACTCGACTCTGTGTTCCAGATCCAGATCCTGAAGGAGCTCGACAAGCTGCTCATGATCACCGGTCAGTGTCCGACTCTCATTCACATGTGTGTGCCTTATTGACAGGTGATAGTGTGCTGTAATAGCAGAATACATCAGTCTAGGTGGTTTGAGTCGGGTTAGTTAACCGTGTGTGTGTGTGTGTCAGGTGAGGAGCGCGCTCTGTGTCTGGTGGACATTAAACGGGTCAAGCAGTCCCTGGCTCAGTCTCATCTGCCGGCACAGCCTGATCTCAGTCCCTATGTCTTTGAGGCGGTTCAAATAAAACTGATACACACACTGAAAACATTTCAATAAGTTTTATATTTGAAAATCAACAGACAACAAATACAATTAGCAGCTACAGTATATGCACTTTTTTAGCATAAACATTAAATTAACATTAACATGAAGCTCTAATAATAATAATAATAATAAATCACTTATATATATAGTCGGGTTAGTTGTGTGTGTGTGTGTGTGTGTCAGGTGAGGAGCGCGCTCTGTGTCTGGTGGACATTAAACGGGTCAAGCAGTCCCTGGCTCAGTCTCATCTGCCGGCACAGCCTGATCTCAGTCCCTATGTCTTTGAGGCGGTGAAAGGCTGCCACCTCTTTGCTTCCGGAAAGGTAAAGTGACCCATCAACAGTCCGTCTGATGCTCTTCCTGTGACCCAGTCTAATCAAGGCCCTGTGTTTGATGCTCTAGTTATAAGTGAATGGAATCTCCTCATGTACTCAGAAATACATCTCATTATTGAAGTGAAATGGGTTTCAAACTGTGTTTCACATTGACTTGTATTGAACCTGGAAGCTTCCGTTGTAGATCTGTGAATGTATACTGAAACCCAGTGACTGAATAAATGTCCTGTAGCTTGTCATGATCGTGGCTGGTGATGATGAACAAAAGCTTGTTAGACACTAATTGCTGGTTAGGATCAGTGTTATTTTAGTATTTTTTATATATACTTATTACGGTTTTTATAATATTTTGAATTAGCTATTTTTTTCAGTTTTCAGTTTATTTTTTATTTTAAATTTTAGTACAATTTAATTACGTTAGTAATTTTAGTTACAACTTTAACTTATTCTCAACTTCAACTTGTTGTATTTCAGTTAGTTGCCAAGGCAACATTTCTAATTTTCGTGAGTTTTTAAGTTTAAGTTTTTTATCAAATATCTATATTTATTTGATTTCAGCTTTAATTAATTTAACAAAAACACCCCGTTAACAGAATGGTGTTAACAGTGTTATTAGTATTAATTCTAAACTATTTTATTAATATTTTGAATTAGCTTTTTTTTTTTTTTTTTAGTTTAGCTTTTTTTCTCTGTTAGCTGCCAAGGCAAAATTTCACATTTTCGTTTAGTTAGTTTTTATTTAATATTTAGATTTTTTATTTATTATATTCCATTATGGTTTTTATTAATATTTTGAGGTAGCTTTATTTTTATATTTTCAGTTTTAATTTTAATTTAATTTTAATTTTAGTACAATTTTGTAACATTTTAGTACAATTTAGTTACATTAGTAATTTTAGTACTTCAACTTATTTTATTTCAATTAGTTGCCAAGGCAATATTTCTAATTTTAATTTGTTGTTAAGTGCAAGTTGTTCAACTAATATCTATATTTTATTTTATTTCAATTAACAATTATCGTTGATAATTATACAATAACGATAAATATTGTTTTTTTTCAATGTTTTGAATTAGCTTCTATTTTTCTTATTTTTAGTTGATTTTTTTTTTTACATTTTTGTACAATTTAACATTAGTAATTTTAGTACTTTAACAACAGTTTACAAATATTTTAGGTTGATTTTTAGTAATTTTGTTGTGCTTGTTTTAGTTTAGTTTTTAAGTTTTTCATCTAATATTTTTACTTAATTTCACTCTATTATGAAAATTTTTTTTTAATAGTTTAATAATGAGGACACATGTACGTCTGATTATTGGTTTACTGAAGAGTGTGTGTGTGTTTCAGATCGACACGTGCATGTGTATCTGTGCCGCGATGCCCAATAAAATCACCATCCTGCGCTTCAACGACACGCTCAACAAGTTCTGCATCAGAAAGGTGACAAATAAGAAGCTCCTCATGCACGTCACACACGCGTGTTCATTCCTCCCTTCACGTGTGTGTGTCCGCTGCTCTTCCGCAGGAGATCGAGACGTCTGAACCCTGCAGCTGCATCCACTTCACCGGATACAGCATCATCATCGGCACCAACAAGTTCTACGAGATTGAGATGAAGCAGTACGTGCTGGAAGGTGAGATGATCCACACACACACTCACTCACTCACTCACACACACACTCACTCACTCACTCACTACCTGCTCTGCTTCCACGGTGCGTGTGTGAACTGTACGAGGCGCTGAAGGTGTGTGTGAGAGTCCGTGTTTCACTGGTGTGTGTGTGTGTCGTTGTTTGCAGAGTTCGGTGTGTTTGTGGACGCGTACGGCCGCAGGAGTCGCAGCGATGACATCAAATGGAGCCGCCTGCCTCTGTCCTTCGGTAAAACCTAGTTTTATTCATCAGCTGTAAGTCTATAGAGAGCTGACGATGGGTTCATTTGATAGTTTAGAGCTGTGCGATTCAAGTGTGACATGGGAAAGCAAAGCAAATCACAAAGGAAAGCATTTACAAAAACCAACAAACCAAAACACACTCCAGTCATTCACGTTTAAACACAAACAACGATCCATATCATTATACATATTAGGCCTACTCAATTATGGCAAAAATCTTTTAATCACAATAATTTAACATAATTACTCACTGACTTTGTAAACATCATCCTTTTATTTACCTTTAGAAAAAAAAATTTTTCCTTTGAACTATAAATATAATTCAACTGAAAATAATACATAAATAAATATAAAGATATTAATAATATTTAGAATAAATTATAAATAATTAAATTATAAATGATTATTATAGATAATCATTTATTATGTAAATAGTTATAAACTATAAATTGTATATAATTAAAAATTATATAATATTAATATACATATATAAATAATAGAATTAAAATAATAATTAAACTGAAAAACAAAAAAGGAAAAATATAAATGTATTTATAATATATATATATATGTGTGTGTGTGTGTGTGTGTGTGTGCATATTTGTTGAATATTATAAAAATATTTATGTAATATAATATGTATGTAATTTGTCTTGATTGTATTATTTTCATAATTGTTGAAAGTAAAGATTCAAAGATTTCAAATAAAATTGCATTACCTAATCCATATTTACCTGCTTAGATGCAGCAATCTGACAAAAACAGACTTGTTTTTAAGCACAGTTGTTTCAATTTAAAATCTTGTTTCATGTCAAGATTTGTACTTGCACAAAGACAGATGAAATCAATTAAAGTATTTACTGAATTAATTCATGTTTCTGGTCTTATTGTGAGCGACTCGTCAGTGCATACCATTATAAAGAATCAATGTTGTTGTAATCTAAAATGGAAACAGTTTAAGTGAGAGTTAATATCTAGTTCTGATATGAAACACACTTTACACCGTCCTGTGTGTTTCTGCACAGCGTACCGAGAGCCGTACCTGTTTGTGACCTACTTCAACTCTCTGGACGTCATCGAGGTTCAGAGTCACTCTGCGCTCGGGTAAAGCTGCCGTCCACTGGATTGTGTGGTTTTGTTCCTGATGTTTGTTAGAGACACACTGTGTGTGAGTGAGTGAGTGTGTGAGTGTGTGTGTGTCTGTGTGTGTGTGCTTGTGTCTGTGTGTGTGTGTGTGCGTTTTTGTGATTTATGAGGACATTTTGAGTGTCCCCATATTTCAAAAGGCTTATAAATCATTCAGAATGAGTTTTTTTGAGAATGTAAAAATGCAGAAAGTTTCCTGTAAGGGGTAGGTTTAGGTGTAGTGTGTGTGTAGGGCAATAGAAAATACGGTTTGTACAGTATAAAAACCATTACGAATGTCCCCACAATTCACAAAAACAAACCTGTGTGTGTGTGTGTGTTCAGGCCTCACGCTTACGCTCACCTGGACATTCCTAACCCGCGTTACCTGGGTCCGGCCATCTCATCCGGCGCTGTGTATCTGGCCTCGTCCTTCCAGAACAAGCTGCGCGTGATCTGCTGCAAAGGCAACCTGAGTCAGGAGGCATCGGCGGCAGAAGCGCAGAGAAACGGCTCCACACGCAGGTCAGTGTGAGCCTAACGTCACTCATGCATCTCATTTCACTGGAGGAAGCTTCACTAGGAACAGACTGATTCTTTGGAGGGCTGACAATATGAGAAAAATGCTGATTTCCGATCTCACTCCCATTGAGTTCAAAGCATCAAAGCTTCCCACAAATGCATGCTGCAGTTAACCATTATATATATATTCTACATGGTTTTGTAAGCTCAGCGTACATTACACGAGCACACTCATATACCCCATGACCGCTAGAATTTAATGCACAAATAAAAGCACAGACATTTGCATTTGTACTCTGCATCGAAAGCATAAATGTGAGCGCGCAGTTGCGTCTTTAATAACTTTTAAGGCTTGTTTTGCGGTGACTCTTGTTTGTGTCAAAGACTCGGGGTATATGTATGTGCGTTAATGCCACGCAGAAACTCTTACAGAGCAAAAACAAACACTCCTCTTCGTCTCTCACTGTGTGTGATCTCACAGTCTGTCAGGAACTCGACTCGTGCTGTCGTTCATGATTAAGTGAAGCGTTTTCTCATAGGATAAGAACACGCAATCATGAATAATTACCAGACACTGATGCAGGACTGTAGTCATTTGCCGCACCACAAATAGTGGATTTGTACATTATTAAACCCGGAAGAGGAATATGGCGCAAAAAATGCTCCAAATTAACCAGTTTTCTCCTACAATTAAAATGCAAAGCCGATGCTAACTTTGTCTTTCATGATTTGCAACACAAGCAAGTGGTTTAGTGTTTCATAACCCATTCAAATGTTAAATCATAGAGCATTTGTTTTAGAGGAAAACTGCAGGGAGATCTTAAAGCTTCTGTTTTGTTGATTTATCAGTTATTCTCGTTACAAATTTGGAAGATAGTTGACATGTGTTGCGCTTTCAAAATGTAGAAAAGTTTGGGCTCAGTAAGATTTTTCATGTGTTTTAAAGAAGTCTCTTCTGCTCATCAAGGCTGCATTTATTTGTCCAAAAATACAGAAAAAACGGTAATATTGTGAAATATTATTGCAATTTAAAATAACGGCTTTCTATTTTAATATACTTTAAAACCTAATTTATTTCTGTGATCAAAGCTGTATTTTCAGCATCATTACTCCAGTCTTCAGTGTCACATGATCTTCAGAAATCATTCTAATATGCTGATTTATTATCAATGTTGGAAAGTTTTTTGCTTCTTAATATTTTTTTGGAACCTGTGATACTTTTTTCAGGATTCTTTGATGAATAAAGTTAAAAAAAGAAGAGCATTTATTTAAAATAGAAATCTTTTCTAACAATAGAAGTCTTTATTATCACTTTTTATCAATTTAACACATCCTTGCTGAATAAAAG